TTTGACCGTTATGCAGAAATACCAGGTCTCATTTTGATGCTGACTGACTGATGTTTCATAAATTTCTAGTGTTAATACTAGGCACACTTCTTTCTTTTATCTTGCTTGCTTATGCGGTCGGTGAGATAATGCAGGTACTTATGAGTAGTGTTATGCAGCAGATTAGTTTTTCTGGCATCGGCAGAGGTGCAAACATAAAATGAACTACAACTGAGCCTCATTTGTTCAACGCACTCAAGACAGTATTTGTAATCTTGACATTGAGCCAAATTACTGAACTTAAAAGTTTCGTTTATGACCTGGGATTGTTTAGTAACTTTTGAGCTACTATAGCAGTCTGAGATGGGTTACTTTATAAGACGAATTTGTTATCTTTGTGGAATGATTCCACCGCTTCATTTTATCAAAATTACTATTATTATTTCTCAGTTTTTAAGTCCATACTTCCCACTCTTCGAATCTCTTACATTATGAAACTATAGTATTAAAGACTCGACTATGTTTGCGTGCATCATCAATTCTTATGGTCGTAAAGTAAAAGTGGTGTTTGGGACAGAGGTGTCATTAAAGTTAAGTGCATCCTTTGATAACATTATCCTGACCCACATAACTCCTTCCTTGACGTTATTGTGGGGCGTGCTTATCACAATGGCCCAACAAGCTATGCTGGTTGAAACAACTGTGCCTTGAAGTTCTACCATATCAGAAAAGTTAGTGAATGGTTAGACTGAAGGCTGCCGTTATGGTGTTAATATCTTGCTCTGTGGTGGGGATTGCAGGGCGAAGTTCCACTTCTGTACAGGCCTCAAGCAGATATCCATCAGGCCTATATTCGTGCATTTGAAGCTGTTAAAACCATCATTTCTAAACCACTGTCTTTTTCAGACACCCCTAAAAGTACACTCCCATGGTGTGGAAGGTTGGGAAGTATCAGTCACCTTCATACCTGTCAGGACTCACATCCCTTGGGATTGCGACCAACCTTCCTTATCGTTACGCTCTATTCTTTCTTCACATTTCTCTGTGGACAGTTCTGTACGATCTTAAATTTTTCCTAACTCCCTAGTTTTCTGAAATTGCACTTCACACTACGTCTTTCATTGAATCGAACAACAAGCTTGTCTAACCAAAACTCTAGCCTCTTTGGCCAAGAGTGTATTCTGTGTTTGTGAGATACGCACATAGGACTTAACTGTGGTTTATCCCCTAACCTCACCAGATCAGTGCTGCGAATCCGCGAAATTCACCTTTCGAGTTCCTGAGAATTTCTCGTTGACCGAAAAGTGTGGCAATGTCCAACTGTGAAGTACCGAGAAAGTACATAACGCTTATCAAAGCTCTCTGCTGGGACTGACCCAACCGTCTAAGGGCTTATGAAGAGTTGTCATGTGAATTGACGACAACTAGTGGTGTTCACCTGGAATGTCCCATCACCGTTCCTATTTAACTCCACCATACACGTACTAATGAACATAACCTTATGTACACCTCACTTCACAAGGATTAACCTACTCCCTGGAGGTCATCTGGTTGACTTGGAGTATGCAAACGATATTGTTCGAATAGGCGAAGACGCTGACGAAATGCAGGGTCTTGTGAACACGTTGAACAGAAATCTGAGTATGCATAGCATGGGTTTCGCTGGCACCTGTCAAATGTGAGATGATGCTCTACGACTGGTCTACTGCAAGTACTCCCAGTTTAATGATAGGGAGTGAAGTTGTGGAATATGCCGACGACTTCACTTACATGTGGAGTTGCATCGCCCCGAATTGGGGTGGTTGCTGACGAAATCTCAGCTGGGATACAATAGTCCTGTTTGACATTTGCCAACTAGCGTCATGTGTGATGCCAACTGGTGAGATATCCGAATGGCTATTGGAGGACGAGTATGGTGCGCTGCAGTTTGTTGCATTCTGTTGTACGACTGTGAGACATGGCCGTTAAATGTAGGAGAATATGAAGCGCTGTTCCTCTGAGTGGTTCAGGGCAGACTATAGCGATTAATGAAGTATACCATTGTCTCTTTGTAAGCTACTCTTACGCGTCCGCTGACTGCAGTTTATAAGAAGTGACAGTTGTAGCGGAAACTGTCCACCTCGTGAAAACGAAACTTTCAGAAATGGTTTTCGTAGAAAGTCATGTCAATGTATAGGTGGCTTTTCTAGAATCTCAGCCAAACGAATAGTTAATGGAGATTGCCTGCTACAGCCATGCTAACTCGAATACAGAAAGATATTGTTTGACATGTCATTACCATTGTGTTCACAATGTGCGTCCATGTCGTCGTGTTCTAGAGTTCCAACAATTGAGGATTATTCGATTTGATACTGTTTGAACGTTAAAAACTAATATGAAGTTGGACGTATTCGTTTAGTAGGTTAGCAGTGGTGTTCCGTTGACTTGAATCGTTAGCAATGGTCACAGTCGAATTTAGTGGAAACTGTAAAAAGCATACTATTAGTAAGGAAGAGATATATTGATGAAGAAGTTGTTGATAAATACTAGGAGGGTCGTTTATAATCAGATAGGTTTTATGCTATGGGCTAACATCAATCTCCCCAAGTAGTTCAGCAGCGAATTTGATGGTGCTATCTTGATGACTGTTGATCACATACTGTTTATGCTACTCCAAGAAGTCATTCTTGGATTGTCTGAATTAACGGCGCATACTGAGGTATAATTGTATCCCTGACGATGTCATGCACACAGCTCAACCACTTACAGGTTCATTTAGTTGTTTATGAGGCAGATCCATGAAGTCACTAACAGATTAGTCTGAGCCATTAAAAAATGTGTAGGTTATTTGGATTTATTTCATGAAATTCTGGGATTAAATTATTAAAGGCACTAGGTAACATCAAAATTAATTATGAGAGCTCAAAGATAATCACTCTTTATCAACGAAATTCCAAACACCATATTTATCTCCATTTACCTGTTCCCTACTCACCCATGTCACTTTTGTCTTACCATCTTATTTCTGTGGCTTGGTGAAGTACAGCAGCTTGAGTGACTACTTAATTGCGATGTTTTACGCTTTTCCGTCTTCGTGGCCAAACCATTCCACATCCAGTTACACTTTGCTGGTAAACTCGGGGATCAAAAAAGTGAATAGTAATTACTGTTTTCAATGTTTTCTCTTTGGAAAATAGAACTAAATGAAGTTAAAGCTTGTTCACATGTATCATACTTTCAGAGTATAACCATTGTAACATGACAGTACTCAGTAAGAATAATTTCCTTAAAACCTACTTTGAACTTTTCTGATTATTCCTGTTCAGAAAAGAAAACACTAAGAATCTTCGCAAACTGTAAGTTAGTCCCTTTACCGCATGAAAGAAAACTTCATAAAAAAAGATCGTTTCTTGGGAGCTAGAATAGAGTCCATTAGAACGAGGTAAACGTAGTAAGCAGTGAATCCTTTGACTATGTTTCTTTGTTGGAACGAACTATAGGTTTCAACCGTCTTATTTCATATTTCATTACCATTTACAAACAATTAGTTACTCATACGCTTTACAGATAATCCTGGTTTTAGGTTAGAATTCATCATGGACTGACATCAATTGAAGGAACAATGGGAACCTGGGAGCACTAGACAGCTGTCCCCTTCTAGGATAGGACTCCTCAGCAGCTCGCATCCAAGACCTTCAGGTCCGGTGTCCAGCACGTCACCACTGGGTCAGAACCCAGTAGTCCACTCCTGTCAGTTCACGACATAGCATGACCTACACCCAGTGTTGTCGTTGAGTAACTGTCCTCATGTCCAACTTGATTGACTCCACTGGTCACGACTTCTCATTGAAACTTTGGGAGTCAACTCTCAAAGCTAGTCACGAATAAGCACAATGCTGACGAGTTTCATACTAGAACGAAACAGCTTTTCAGTGCTGCTAGGTTTCTAATATTCCTCCAAATGATGTCAGTTCATTATGAATTCCAAACTAAAATCAATTAATAAATTTCCACAAACCTCCAGAAAGAATCCTAGGGTCGCGTGTACTGCACAGCAGTCCTGTCTGTTCTACTGTATGGCTGTGAAACATGGCCATTGAAAGTGGAGGATACAAAAAGGCTTCAGGTGTTTGATCACCGTTGCCTTGGTAGTATAGGACGTATTCCGTGGTGTCACCATATGAGTAATGCAGAAGTTAGGTGTAGAGTTTTGGGGAGAAGAGGTAAGTCAGTCGACGAGGTTGTGAACCTCCATCGACTGAGATGGTTGGGACACGTACTACGTATGCCTAGTCACCGATTGCCTCGTCACACAATGTTGGCTGAGGTGGGTCCAGGCTGGAAAAAGGCCCGAGGTGGCCAGACTAAAACATGGCACCAATGTATGAAGTCTCTGACTGTTGGTTTAAGCCATGTAGGACGATGCAGACTAGGTGTTTGGGGTCCACGGGACAGGAGGAACCAGTGGTTGGAGACCCTAGGTGATATGGCTCAGAACCGAAGTCAGTGGCGCAGATGTATACACACATTATCCTTATCTTAACAACGCTATACCGAATCTCACCATTATGTCACTCCTCTTTCCTTTCTTCTCGTACTTTATATTTCTTTTGACTGCATTCACTTATCTTCGTCCTTCACCTCACTACCTTTTTATTTGATGCGCTGATATGAGGTGTGGCAACTCGGACCGTGAGGCAGTAATGCCTGGTCCTATGTTGATAATGATGATGATGATGATGATGAGAAAGAATCCTAGTTTTAATTGATATCAGAATACTTTTAAACTTACCATTCCACCACTTATCACTCATTGGCTCTACTTGCATACCCGAAAAAGTGTGACATAGATCTTCAAAATGATCTAAAAACTAATTTCAGTACGTCCGACAAGTACACACAATATTCATCTGTTTTTTGAAGTATAATATTCTTTTATTAGTCTATGATCACATTCCATTATTATTATTATTATTGTTATCACTGTACTTCGTGTTCGTCATTATCTACCAAAATCTATTCTTTGTTAATAAATTCCCTAGAATACCGAATAAGTCTACTACGATTGATATATGGCACAAAATAAGACAGAAAAAGTAGTCATTCCAATGGAGGTCGCACAAGAATATGCAGCAAAACTTCTTGGTTTTGAACCTCTTCAACTTTCTGATGATCGTAAGTAATACCATCTTAATCATACAATGTTGTTTCAGTGTACAACACAATTCTCACACATATAGGACAAATGATAGATGCATTTCAAAAGAAATTACTTGAAAAAGTTTGATTTTTTTCTCCATAAACTTTACACGTCTCTCTTAGTGTATATCCAGTTCTGCAAAACGAAAAGTTGAGAAACTGATTAACTATTTCATACAAAAACTAGAAGACTGTCTTGCGGACAAGTTTCACTCTATTGATGTAAATCTGTTACAGTCAGTATAAAATAAATTATTATTATTCTAGGTACTTTTAGCCACTAAACTATTCTATCTGCATCCTTCAGTGGTTCTCAAAGATGATGAACCTCAATTAGATTACTCTGAAAAACTGGACAAGTCTATCCAAGACAAAATATTAACTCATACAAGAAGAATTTCAGTTGTAAGTCAATTTAATTTTTTTTTACCTCTTGACAATATTTCTCTAAATTTCGCACACTATGAACCCGAGGGAAAAATAATAATAATAATGACACACGATATCATTACAACTATTTCATTGAATGATTGTTTAAAATAATTTAGTTATTTTTTCTATAGAAATATAAAGTCTTAGCTAGTCTGGAGCAACAAAATTCCTTTAGAGTTAGAAATTCTATCCAAACTCTGAAACTTTAACGGCTTCATACACTTATACGCTGCCGCACTATCGAGTTAGATAGAAGTATTGTACACATGTCACATACCTTATATGAATTGCTATCCGATTTGTGTACAGAATTCTAGTATTATGTTATTAAAAGGAGACTAAGTAATGCAAATCTTAAGTAAACAAAAATCCTCAAACTAAATGAATCTTAGGAGGAATTTAAAAAGTATTCAGAAAAACATGCATTTGATTACTCTTCGAAGAATGTCACTCCCATCAAAATTGAGGTACTATCTTTTGGTCCAAAGTGCTGCATCGAAGAGTAAGTTGAACACCAGATGGCCATTTACGCTCGTTTGAGACCCAGCTCATCACCTGTGTACCCGGAAAAATTCAGCTAGATGAACCGAATTACTTCAGATCGCCTGAATCTAGTTAGCTAATTTGTATCAACCGGTATACTTAAAATAGGATAATCAATTTGCAAATGGTTTACGAATTACCCGGTCCAAGTTGACATTTCTGACAACTGAGTATTTTTCAAATACCCAACTGTATTGTCAACAGGGTTTCTGTTAGAAAGCATCTGACCAAGATCATATGGTGTATATGATCCTCAACAAAAAGTGTCATGAACTAACGAGATATACTACTCAAAAACTTAAATAGTTAGAAACCACTCAAGTTGTTCAGTCGTAGTATATTTCACTAGTTCATGACACGTGTCAGAGATCACACCATATGGTCTTGGCTGAGTGGTATCTAACGAAAACTCTGTTGATGCCACAGTTGGGCAGTTGAAAAACTGCTCAGCTGTGAGAAACGGCAGCATGGACCTTGCAATTTGTAAATCATTTGAAAATTTCATCAGCTAGACGGACAATCGTATACCGACCTTACAAGAGGACTTCAATCATTCCTGAATTCCCCACATCAGTTTATGAAATCAAATCCACTACAATTATATCACTTAAACAAAGGACACTTTAGTCAGCTGAAAGAAATGAAAGTAAACAAGGATAGCATATTAACTCGACCTGATGAAGATCGTATTGATAGATGGATAGGATTACATTGTTAGAATGTTAGATATTTTCTCAAAATAAGAAAAGTTCTAGAAACCTGAAAAAAAAACATGAAAAGAACAAAAGGGAATTTTTCAAAGAATAAATTACACAGGTTCTGAAGAAAATGAAAAATAAATCACTGATCATTGTAAGAGAATATAAAGTTTTGAGACCGTCTTGATCTTTAATTCCTCGACCACGTAGTCTACCTAAAACTGAAAAACCTCGACTAATATTTAAATATAAATTGTTCTCCCTATCGCTCGGTGACCAAGTGGTTTGCTGAACTCTTATTATTATTATTATTATTATTATTATTATTATTATTATTATTATTATTATTATGAAAAGGCGAGTTCGCAAACATTTACTTGATGATATATTTAAATCTATTGATTGTATTAATCATTTAAGCACTGCTGGTAAAATCATGTTTTCCTTAGATGTTTTATTATTGTTTACAAATGTCCCACTTAACAAAACAGTTTGCTTCGTACGCCAATATATTGACTATCACACAGTGTAGATACAGCCATATCTACATCTTTCTTGAAGGAAGACATACTTAGAAGCATGCTGAATGCGTAATTTATTTTCAACAATAAGATCTACCGACAGAGATATGGTGTTGCACTGGGATCCCTATTAGGTACATTGTTAGCTGAATTTCTCTTACTGGGAAGCTGGGCTTCTATGAGAGATATATGGACGATACGTTTTTATTGTGTATGGTTACACATATTATTTGAAAGGTGCATTGAGGACATTCGATGGTTACTACCCATCTATTCCATTCACTCTCGAATAAGAAACGGATTCTAAAATCCTATGCCTTTATGTGCTGATTCCGACGAGCACTGATGAATCTCTGAAGAGATCAGTCTACATGGGATGGATGATTAACAAATCTCCATAGCTTCGTTTTCGTAGAATGAAGGGGATCTGTTCCTCTCGCACTCTCTCATCACGTTCCTGAAAGATATGTACAGAAGACAAGGGAGTAGCTTAACCACTGAAACAATATTTTTTGGGAAACGTGTATCTACCACGTTTTGGCATGATCATGCCAAGAGATAAAATCTGCATTAATTTAGAATCTAGTTGATATTTTTCAAACAAAACTCTTCAGAACTACCTGACAAAGTCATTAAAACTTTCTCTGCAAAACACCTATTCCAGTCACGCTTCAGTCTTTCTGAATGCTAAAGAAATGTTACCTCGACTGTCCAACTTGATGTGCATCTACAATGTTCATCTGCTTTTGTGGATCTAGGTAAATGGGATGTCTACTGAGAAGCCGTTCCCGTTGTATTCGAGAGCACATCCCAGTATAGCTAAGCTAAGGGGAGAGTAGAAGTATAAATTCATCAATCCTCCAACATGTAGTTGAGCACAATCATTCAGCCTCCGAATCGTCACTTCACATTATTCAGAACGTCAAACCAAACTTTTCGAGAGGTGCAGGCATACATCTAGTTTGCATCGCAGAAACCTTTGTGATACATAGTTTTAAGCCAGAATTGTGTCTGTAGAAACGGTCCTTTTCATGACTTTGAATAAGCGATTTGTCGTTAGTCATTTCAACTAGACGTTTTACACCACTATTTCTTGCTTATCATTTTAAATTTATATTAAATCCATTTTATTTTGCTACATATCATTTCACCTATCTTGATTCCTGTCATATTGCGTTTTGCCTAACTGATGTTCACCTTTCTTGTTTCGGATAATCACTCATTCACTTGAAAGTCATCCCATACAATATTCATTCACTCGTTTGCAACCTATTTTGTGCCTTTGATCTTTAGTTTATCGTACTTTTGCAGTTGGTTTCATAGTTTTCCCACGTCTAACTGGAGCTCAAGAGCAGCAAACTCGAGGAAACCGGGCAGGTTTCAAATCTGAAGGAGTGTGTATCGATCACATTTTCACCCTTCGACAGGTTCTGGAACACAGGCGTACCTACTCGTGGCCGACACTCGCCATATCTCTTAACCTGAAAGCAGTATTCGACTCTGTCGACCGTGAGGTATTGTGACATCGTCTGACTGTGAAGGGAGTACCGAGAAAGAACATAACGCTGGTCAAAGCTCTCTAGTAAAACTCACACAGCCGTATAAGGGTTCATGGAGAGTAGTCAAGTGAATTGACGACAACCAGTCGTGTCCGTCAGAGATGACCACTGCCACGGTTCCTATTCGATTTCGTTATTGATGTTCTTTATGAGCATAACTTTAAGTACCTATGACTTTACAAAGAGGTCATCTGGTTGACTTGGAGTATGCAAACGATATTGTTCGAATAGGCGAAGACGCTGACGAAATGCAGGGTCTTGTGAACACGTTGAACAGAAATCTGAGTATGCATAGCCTGGGTTTCGCTGGCACCTGTCAAATGTGAGATGATGCTCTACGACTGGTCTACTGCAAGTACTCCCAGTTTAATGATAGGGAGTGAAGTTGTGGAATATGCCGACGACTTCACTTACATGTGGAGTTGCATCGCCCCGAATTGGGGTGGTTGCTGACGAAATCTCAGCTGGGATACAATAGTCCTGTTTGACATTTGCCAACTAGCGTCATGTGTGATGCCAACTGGTGAGATATCCGAATGGCTATTGGAGGACGAGTATGGTGCGCTGCAGTTTGTTGTATTCTGTTGTACGACTGTGAGACATGGCCGTTAAATGTAGGAGGATAGGAAGTGATTACAGGGTTTGATCATAGATGTCTTCGTATTACTGCTCATGTATGATGCAGTCACCGTGTAAGCATTGTTGTGATCAAGCGGTAAAGTACTAGGCAAGACAAGCAAGTTGATTGATGAGTTTATCAACCTTAGTTGACTGAGATGGCAGCAGTGCATTTACTCCTTGGCATCTAAAGCTTGCATATTCTCACTATTTATTATCTTCAAATTGTTTATTCTCTCATATAACTTCATATACTCTGATGTCGTCTGTTTCTACCTTCGTGTTATCAGTGTACCATTATGAAGTGCGGCAACTGGAGTCTATGCACCCGTGTACGAGGTACTACATTGATTTTGTCAGTTTGTCACTCTGATCACCAATTTTCTTATATCCATCCTTCAAAACGTCTGATGACACACTATCACTCACTGCAGCTCTACGTCGTTACACATTCAAAATAGCCTCGCTCACTTCTAGGACATTAGAAGTACCGACACATACATCCCATTCACGTTGAGTCTGAATACGTGACAATTGAAGCATTACTGTGAATCAGTTCAACTGTGTTACAGAGTGTCCCACCCAATGTTCTACTCCCCTCTCCTGAGAGGTTATCAGCATCCCATCATTCTCCGTCATGCTTTCACTAACCACCGTCTTCCTTTTGCCCGTATCTTTAATAAGCCCCGATAGTTGTCGATCATTAGGTAACACCGATACCTTCTCACTTTCACCACCCACCACCACCACTCGCCATCATTGCGATGACTCTTGGACAACTCAAATTTAAGTTGATTTTGCTCTTCAGTGTAGTTAGAACCAACTGGAATGAGTCTTCTCACACCAATCAGTTCGAATGACGTTGAGGAAGTCTATTGATGTTTACCAACCTTTAGAAGTCGGTTACCAACTGTCTATGTTGCTTTTTCATCAACGAACCTAATATAACATTACGTCAGGTTTCCTCACGATGAGTATTGCTGTCACGTTCAGATAAATGACTAGCTACTTTCTCCCTAACTACCTACTTCGCATTCTCATCTTCCAGTTGAGCATAGACAGAAGTTACTACCTCCTGTTTCCTGCGACAAGTAAGGTGCAAACATACACCAATCGTTGTTTTGATATCGGTGGACGCCAAGTGACACAGTGTCTCTCCTCATGTTTGAAGTTAGTGGTGACCAAAAACAAGTGATCATTAGAAGTAAATTATAAGAGATGATCACTGTCGTCAGTTCGTTGGCATAGGATACTGTAGACATTCGCAAGACACCTTTTTAGTTGATTGTGCTTTCCTACTTCAGGGTTGAAGTTGCCTGCTACTTAGACTATATTTGAATGGTTTGCTTTCTGCAGCAAAATTGGCAGCTTCTGGTACAATTCATCCTTTGCATTATCTGAACTGCAGTACATGGGTACGTAGACGAAGATTACGAATAGGCGTTGATCAGTCTTGCGACCCTTCCTAGTTTCTGCAGATCCACTCCGCTGTACTATTAAGTACTATGCCTATGACATCAAAGATTTGTGTTATCGCAGGACCCATGAGACATCTGTTTGCTGCCTGTTATACACATACTTTTCAGGATTGTTATGAGATTTGATGGTTCTGACACCGGATACAAAAATCTCGTACCACTGTCGCCGGAAGACTGTGGAGCAGAAAGGAGTGTGGTGTTTTCCGGGTCGACCTTTCCTCCCCCCCGTCGCCTTCTCACGGAGAAGACAGCATTAGCTTAGTTCTGCTGATTATCCTCGGGAAACAACTTACTGCCTAACACTCCACCCTCCCAACAGTATGATTTCGTCGTCGGACCCGATCATAACGTAGCAATTTACACTATGAAGGCAACTGCTCGTCTTACTACTATCCAGCAGACGTTTCTGATATGGTAGGACCGCTAGGGAACGGACGTTACAACCAATGTAACCCGTTGCCTCATCATGATATGCAACCCCTACCAGCATGTCAAAGTAGAAGCTATCAGTGGAGTACTGCACGATCCTACTTGTTAACCTGAAACATATATCCAGACAAATTCTTTATCACCAGCCTCAACTTATGTATAAATGCGAATAAGAATGAAATCGTTACAAAAAGAATTTTTCTCCGCTGTTAACCTTGTTTAGGATTATCTTATTTTAAAATGGAGTGAACAATTTGCAAATAATTTACAAATTGTACGGTCTATGTTGACATTTCTCTAGTGGAAACTCTTTTGACGCCATAGTTGGGCCGTCGCAAAACTACTCAACTGTCAGAAATGTCAACGTGGACCGCGTAATTTGTAAATCATTTGCAAATCGTTCACTCCATTTTAAGTATACTGGTCCATACAAGTTAGCTAGTCACCTTTAGGTGATGTGAAGTAATTTGGCTCTGTGAACTGAATTTGTCCGAGTTGATGAGCTGGATCTCAAACGAGCATAAACGGCCATCCGGTGTTGAGGTTACTCTGATCTGGTTGGCGAAATACTACAGATCAACTTGAGTGGTTACAAACCACTCAAGTTGTTCCGTAGTAGCATCTTTCGTTACGTTATTTTAAATCTCAAGTTTTACTCGCTCCTGCAAGAAAATACTTTTTGTTATTTCTGGTTTCTGCAGCTGAATAGGTTAGCGGTATCTCACCATTGTATAGTTCGAGGTGGGCTGACTGAAGAACTTTAATCTGAGACTGACCTAAACCCCCTTTCTTATTGCTCATACTTACTTAATCATGCACTTTGTAGGGTTAGAATCTGACACGTCCTATTAAGGTCTTCCTATATTACTTGATATGTTCTGCACTACTAATTGTTGTTGTTTATTCTTACTTACAGTTAATTTCCTCTCTCTGGGGTTTTACGATTTAGAAAATATATATAATTATATGATCACCTTTACTTCGAGTTATCCAAGTCGAATTTGATGGGTTTCATATCTTCAGTATTTTTCTGCTATCTTTATTCTCTCACTGATGTATGATGTATGATTTATGATTACTAACCTTCATCAGAAAAATGTACCTTGTAATCTTAACGGCGTTTATATTTTACCACAAAAGTGTTAAAGTCAAACTCATTTATGAAGGTTTGAGTGACGCTGGAGTGGAACCGTTAGATTTTTAATGCGATGCCTTGTTTATAAATGTTACCAGGCATAGGACCTAGTTTCAGGACGTTCTTAGTTTCTTAACATACCATACGTCTTTTACAAAACAGTAGCTCTCAAGGATATATTGTATAATCCCGTCCAGTATTTTCTTCCATATATTTATTGTTTACTGGTTCTGGGTTGTTATAAGGCTGATGATTGTTGGAATAAATATATATTGACATGTTTTCATGTAACACTATCTGGTCAAAACGATCTATAAAAATTCATGAGATTTTATTGTTAGATATTTGTGTATTAACATTGAATAATCCACAGTATTTTCCATTTCCTTTGTCATTATCTTGCAGAAAACAAATCACGTTTCACTTTGTCTGCAGACTGTTGAACTTTGATGATGTGTTGGTTAGTAGATTATTTCACAGATTCTTTTAATTTTCAACTTCAGCTTAAAAGGTGCCTGATAAAAATTAAACAAGAAATTGATCAAATCAACTCAGTTATAGAAACTATAAGAAATATGAAAAATCGTATCAGGGAAACGGTGGAAGATGTTTACAATGTTAAATCAAGTATGTTAAGTTACTCATACTTTGCAAAATCGTTTCATTTCTCCTCTACACAATTTACTTTATTTTCTACTCCCAAGCTTTTATCAGCTGTGGACGATCCTTCGGAAATGTAACGTATCTGCTGGTGAAATGTTGTCATCTACGTTTTTTTTAAAGTTCTTGAAACTAATCTACATATAGTCAAACTGTTGTTCAAATGAGCAAAATACCCCTTGTAACGATTGTCCATATGTGCACATTTCTTTGACTTGGCATTTGAGGTTCCAGCAATCAGCTGGTAACAATACTACGGGTATATTAGCTAACTTTTTTTATGCAAAGTATGAAACTCATTTATTGTTCAAAAGTTATAGTTTTATGCACAATTTCAAAATAATGAAAACTAGGTCAAAGAAATTTAATTAACTTGTGTGTTCAAATGTCATACGGTTGCTGTATACTAACAGGCAACTTCAACCCTGAAGTAGGAAAGCACAATCAACTAAAAAGGTGTCTTACGAATGTCTACAGTATCCTATGCCAACGAACTGACGACAGTGATCATCTCTTATAATTTACTTCTAATGATCACTTGTTTTTGGCCACCACTAACTTCAAACATGAGGAGAGACACTGTGTCACTTGGCGTCCACCGATATCAAAACAACGATTGGTGTATGTTTGCACCTTACTTGTCGCAGGAAACAGGAGGTAGTAACTTCTGTCTATGCTCAACTGGAAGATGAGAATGCGAAGTAGGTAGTTAGGGAGAAAGTAGCTAGTCATTTATCTGAACGTGACAGCAATACTCATCGTGAGGAAACCTGACGTAATGTTATATTAGGTTCGTTGATGAAAAAGCAACATAGACAGTTGGTAACCGACTTCTAAAGGTTGGTAAACATCAATAGACTTCCTCAACGTCATTCGAACTGATTGGTGTGAGAAGACTCATTCCAGTTGGTTCTAACTACACTGAAGAGCAAAATCAACTTAAATTTGAGTTGTCCAAGAGTCATCGCAATGATGGCGAGTGGTGGTGGTGGGTGGTGAAAGTGAGAAGGTATCGGTGTTACCTAATGATCGACAACTATCGGGGCTTATTAAAGATACGGGCAAAAGGAAGACGGTGGTTAGTGAAAGCATGACGGCGAATGATGGGATGCTGATAACCTCTCAGGAGAGGGGAGTAGAACATTGGGTGGGACACTCTGTAACACAGTTGAACTGATTCACAGTAATGCTTCAATTGTCACGTATTCAGACTCAACGTGAATGGGATGTATGTGTCGGTACTTCTAATGTCCTAGAAGTGAGCGAGGCTATTTTGAATGTGTAACGACGTAGAGCTGCAGTGAGTGATAGTGTGTCATCAGACGTTTTGAAGGATGGATTTGGCGAAATGCTGATGAAAGCAACAGAGCTATCAGGTAGTGCATGGGAGTCAGATGTAGTCCTGACAGGCTAGCCTTCACTCATCATTCCCGTCTGTTTATCCTCTTGTGACTACCATAGTGAAATCACTCTCACTAGTATCGTATCATTCGTAGTTATCCGACTCCTAACTTCTGCTGGAGAGCACAAAACTCTAGCAAATCAGTTAGGTTCTGAGACCTGGACGAGCCTGCATGGGACAGATTTCCATCTGTATGATAGGTTGCGAAATGCATGTATACTAACTGACGACCAGCACTTACCATATTTCTTCCCTCGAAGGCCGCATTCGTCTCCATCAACCGTGAAGTGTTGTTGCTGTGTCTAACTGTAAGCGAAGTATGAAGTAAGTACATAGAGCTAGCCAAAGCTCTCTGCTCAAACTCACGTAGACGTGTAAGGGTTTATAGAGAGTTGTCATATTACCTGACGACAACTAGTGGTGTCCGACAGAAACCCTCAGTGTCACCGTTCTTGTTCAACTTTATAAGGGATGTATTAATGGATACAACCTTATGTGCGTTCATCTAACTTCATAAGGATTGATCTGCTCTTTTGATGGTATCTGATTGACTTCGAGTATACGGACGATATTGTCTTGCTGGGTGAAGACGCTGACAAAATGTCTTGTAAACACGTTGTACAGAAATGCGAGTGTTTGACATGCCTTTTCCACCCATGAAATATAAGGTGTTGCTGCAGGATCGGTCCATATCTAGTTTGAGGATTGGGAGTGAAATGGTTAATTGCGTTAACAACTTTACATCTGTAGGAAGTTGCATAAACTTACATTAGTGTTTACTTAAACACTGACTGTCCATCTAAGTCTTTAAAGAATGTTGATCTACCGTTTGGTGCCAAGGTAACTACCGACGTCGATGAATAGGGCCTCTGGGATATATACCTGGGAATGGATTTCAGTGATACAGATTTATAGACAGTCTAATTTCGGCTTACCCATTCCATCATTTTTATGTTATTCACTTCAATTCATTTTCTTTTATTCTTTCGGGTTTCCTTGACTGATCATATTATCTCCATTTCCTTTACTTCCGCTTGATTAGTTTCTTATGTGAGCTGTGAGACGTTTCATTTTGAACCGGTGCACAGTCGTATATTGCTACGGGATGACCAACTGCTGTGCTACGAAGATCGTTCATAATGTCGTGTAGATGTTTACCTTCTATGCAGTTCTAACTTTTTGACTTGTTCAAAGCCATACTACTGATCATTAGTGAGTAGTGTCGACATTTTTCTAAAATGTTACGTCTAATAGAAACTGATTTTAACATACCGAAGATTTATTTTTGTATAAAACACTCAACCGTCAAGTTATAAAGCGTAGGAATATGGTAAACTAAAGAAGTACGCCAGTTTTAATCATTAATTCCGTTTCTTATATAGGATAAAAAGTGATATGGAAAGAGTTCATGTTTAGTTACTGCTCCTATCACCACTAACTGTATTTTATTCAGTATGAAAAAGCCGTATGATCACGCCTGTTTCTCTCCCTCTCTAAATTTTTTTGCCTTTTAGTTGAAGAACTGTGCCTTCGTGTCAGTGAACGGAATGACTCAATCAATCGATTATATACTGCTGTGACTACTAATGCAAATTTATCTGATGACTTGTCTTTTTCCATGAAATCATCTATTTAGAAAAGAATAAAGGACAAGAGCAAACGGTGATTTTTTTTAATTGGTTGGATGATTCATTATATTGACAAATTGCTTGTGTATACAGTTGTTGATTAACTCTATTTTCCAAGTATTATATACCAGTTTTATTTACATATTGTATATATATGTGTGTGTGTATTCATTGTTATTTTCCTTTGAAGTTGAATATTTTTTGTTCTCAAAAAATCAGATGGTCGAAAGTTTATATAAACATGCGTATTTTCCTAATTCCTGATTATCCCATACCTCTGTCGTACTTTTCTAAATAAGTTGGGTATGGGGAAGTGGTTATCCTTGAAAAATATTAACACCGAATTTTCATGTAATTTATACATCTCCATTTAATAAGGCATAATAACATATGCATAAAAACTCATGGGTTTGTTTGGTTTTTTTCCAGAATTAGCAACAGGAGTTATTTTGAAACGCATTGCGTGAAAGCGTCCTTTATTTTCAGGTTATAATTTTCAGGCAAATGCAAAAGTAGTTATGATCTTGAAATATAACAACAGTGTAATTTTAAAAAGGGAAGAATAAACAGTTGAGCCGAATAATATAAATCTACTTCTTATTTGACTCGGTGGTACTCGTCAGCTGCTTACAACCTAGGATAAACACAATAATAAATTACAATAAAATACGAATATACTTTAGTTAAGTGAGATAAGTCAAGATGAAACAACGACATGATTGACTGACTGACAAAATCAACGTAGAACCTCGCACATAGGTGCTTAGGCTCAAGTTGCCACACTTCACAGTTGTAGCCATATCACCAAGAGTTTTTAAGCACTGAATTCCTTTCGTTTCTGGGACCCCATCCCCACAGATAAGACCAACAGCTAGAGACTTCATCGTTTGGTGTCAGGTCTTGGTATGGCCACCCTAAACTGCCCCTAACATGATACGTTGGATTGGGCGGTGGCTCAACATGCACAGTACATGTTCAAGTCATCTTAGACGATAAAGGTTCACAACCTCATCAATCAACTTTCCGGTATTGCCTGATACCCTTCGTCTAATCTCAACACTGCTCACACTGTTATTCCACCAAACGCAAGCAATGCCACGAAGACCTCTGTAGTCGCTTCCTATCCTCCTACATTTAACGGCCATGTCTCACAGTCGTACAACAGAATACAACAAACTGCAGCGCACCATACTCGTCCTCCAATAGCTATTCGGATATCTCACCAGTTGGCATCACACATGACGCTAGTTGGCAAATGTCAAACAGGACTATTGTATCCCAGCTGAGATTTCGTCAGCAACCACCCCAATTCGGGGCGATGCAACTCCACATGTAAGTGAAGTCGTCGGCATATTCCACAACTTCACTCCCTATCATTAAACTGGGAGTACTTGCAGTAGACCAGTCGTAGAGCATCATCTCACATTTGACAGGTGCCAGCGAAACCCATGCTATGCATACTCAGATTTCTGTTCAACGTGTTCACAAGACCCTGCATTTCGTCAGCGTCTTCGCCTATTCGAACAATATCGTTTGCATACTCCAAGTCAACCAGATGACCTCCAGGGAGTAGGTTAATCCTTGTGAAGTGAGGTGTACATAAGGTTATGTTCATTAGTACGTGTATGGTGGAGTTAAATAGGAACGGTGATGGGACATTTCAGGTGAACACCACTAGTTGTCGTCAATTCACGTGACGACACAGCATAAGCTCTTATATGGCTGCGTGATTTTGAGTAGAGAGCTTCAGCTAGTAGAATGTACTTGCTTTATACTTCCCTCACAGTCGATAAAGTCAAATGGTGCCTCGAAGTCCATTATATCACGTGTCAACCCCTGGTATATGCGCCTGTGGATCTTCGACATAATATTAGTCAAACTAATTCCCTTTTGGCATTCACAAGATTTCCTACAGACTAGGATGGCAATGAACTACGCCTGTCTTACAGGCACTGTCTGTGATTCCTATGCACTAGCTGGTGCGTCTGTCACTTTAAGCAGCGATTTTCTATCTCCATTCATGAAAACATTAGGTGGCAAATTGTCAAGTTCTGCAGCTTTGTATCAGTTTAGGTTCGATACAGTCTTCTCAACTTGAAGGAGATTTGGAGGACCGATATCTACGCTCCATTCACATTCAGGCAGAATGTTGGTCAACTGAGTCCTTTCTGAAGGCTAGTCTCACTGTGCTTCAGAGTGATGTGCACAACTTTCTAGCCGCCTGTCCAAAGAGGTTATTATTTTCAGTGGTGGTTTCACTAACCATCTTCTTGTTGCCGGTATCCTCGATAAGCGTAAATAGTTGCCGAGTGTTACCCAACGCTGTGATGCTTTGTCCATCTCTTCCCACCCGCTAGTACTCGCGCTCATTGCAAGGACTCTTTGTCAATTTATGTTTAACTTTCTTTCGCTCTTCGTCGTAGTCATTTTCAACTGGAATGAGACTTGTCACATCAGTCTGTTCGGATGACGTCACGGAAATCTGATGACGTTTGGTAACCCTCATTTGTAGCTAATTAACTATCTTTACTACTGTTTCTACAACAGACTCAATACCACACCAGGTTTCCTCAGGTTGAGCATTGCTGTCACTTTTAAATAAATCTATATCTAACTCCTCTCTAAATGCGTACTTGGCGTCCTCATCTGCCAATCGAGAACAGATGGGCCTCACTGCCTCCTGTTTCCTTCGACCGGTAAGGCGCAGACGTACACGAACCTGTACTAGAGCGTGGTCAGAGTCCAAGCTTCATTTTCAAGAAAGTTGCAGATGTAGTTAACATTCTTATGTTGTTGTATGAACGTGACGTTTGCACCTTGTATGCAAGCTAACAGTAGCAATCAAGTTACTCAGTAAACTACCCTGTACTTAAAGCATTTAATACTATATTAAAGTTTGACAAATTAATAACGGGAACATGACTTAAGTTTGAGGGGGTTGTGGGGATTTAGTAATTTCTTAAGTTGGTATTCATCGTAGACTGACATGAATCATTGGTGACTAGCTTCAAGAGGTGATTCCCGAAGTTCCAGTGAGAAGTCTTGACCAGTGGGACAAACCTGGTGGCCGTGAGGACAAATACTCAGCGATGACATTAGGTGGCGGTTGCGCTATATCATGAGCTAACAGAAGTTGGAAATATGGAGCATTGGATTCCCATTCAGTGGCTCAATGGTAACGTGCTGGCCACGGAACCTGAAGGTCGTGGGTGCTCACTGTTGAAGAGTCCCACAGCAGGATGGAACGGCTATCCAGTGCTCCCAGGTCTCCATTGTTCCTCCAATTGGTGTTAGTCTACGATGAATACCAACTTGGAAACATGACTACCGCTTTTGGTCATAGAAGTCACAAAACTGCAGTTCCTCGACAATTCTAGTTTTTTTGATATTTTTTAACGTATAATTAATGGTATGATCATGAATTATTTTCAATGGACACTGATTTATGCTTCAATGTGCCCAAGTTTTAACTAGGTAGTCCGATTAAAAAGCAGAAATGTAATTTTTAAGGAAGATTTAACCCGATATAGTACATTTCCTCTTTATTGTAATATTTTCTAATAGCCATTCAGCACTACTTATTATGTATGTAGGATGTTTATAGTGAGTCATGAACAGCTAAAAAAAGGTCAGGATTCAAGTAAACCATCATATTGCAAAAACTTGTATTCACATGCAGTTCAAACCTAAATGGTTCACAGCGAACAACACTGGGGAAACTGATAGAAATTGTTATTCCATTCGATACTGAGAGTGATAATAAGATCATCCGACTGTTACAGTTAGCACAACTTCAGAATTCATAATACCATATAAGCACAAAGGTTTGATGAACAGCAAAGGAAAAAAAGGAGATTATTTGTGTTAATAAAGTACTGAGAATGTGTAGGATGATACGAAATGAAAATACATTAGTTATGGAGTATTGTAGGGATACAGACATCTTTCTGTTCGCTACTGTTATCACTTGTTTCAGAGAACAAAATTAAATTAATTGATAAAGCAAGAAATATGTTAAGTAAAAATTTTAAAACACCTACGAATGGGATAAAACATTCTGAAGTTCTTTCACATGTATATCAGATGAAATTTGTAGTTAAATTATCACCCTTTTGATCAACACTACAAAGAATCATCAACACTGGAACAATCAAAACTTTGTGTGATTGATTATATTCCCGCGAATAATTTTTCACTACCCGTCCCTCTGTCGTATTCAGAAGATTTACTACTTTCATTTAAAAACAGTGTAAAGTTTACATTTGAGGGTAAACACTTCCGTTAAACTGATGATATTGTTGTGACAAGTCAGTTTAACCCCCCCCCCCCTTCCAGCAGATATATATATATATATATATATATATATATATATATATATATATATATATATATATATGGTCACACATCAAGAACTTATTAGAGGGACTTTATTGCGAGAACCCTTGTGAACAGGAGATACATGCATGTCACAAATGATAAAGCAAGTTAACCTGCTTTTGAAATTGACTGCACGATGCATAGTAAGATATATCCTTAAAAGGTTCATATCTTCAAGAAAATAGCTTGCGTTCCCTAGATGATTCACTGGTCGAGGCCACAATGGATGAATAAAACGATCTATCTACTGGGATCCTATTTCAACACGACGTCATTTAAATTATCATAGTTTTTGTTCACTCCAATAACAGCAAGTTTTAGGCACTTATACAGCAGGATCCTATGAATATGCACAGAAGATGCTTTAGGAAAAAAGATAAGTTCCCTGACTGAAACTTTGATTAAGAGCAATTACCCGCCAAAAATTAGCAACCCATGCAAAGGTATTAGACAATCTCAACCTATCGTGTTAAAAAAGAACTACTTACTGAGTTTACATAGAGAGATGGTTGTGGCGGCTTTATACGTAGAGAAACGCAATTTCGCCATTAAGAAGACGTACTATTCAGTTATATAATCATAATAATTGAATACACTGAGCCAATATTTCCTTCTAATCTCGTAAAATATATGAAGGATGATACCACACACGAACTGTTTTTATGAATTCAAATCTATGTATGAATACACAAAAACAGGAAGCGCTTGTGTGTGCCTAGAAGTAAAGACATCAGAATACATCCCCAAAAGATTTTTTTAAACACTGAATCAACTTATCTTTTCACTGTTGGTATCAGTCTTCCCAAGTCCTCAATTGTCAAACGCATCGTTGAAACAGATAATAAAATAAATGGTTGCACACTTTTTCAATCCATGTATACAAAATTATGGGGACATACCTTTGAACTTTTCAGGGCTATAGCTTTTAAAATATTGAAAACATCTTCATGTATTCACAGACAACTTTTCATCAAATTAAACCTTCCTTGTTTAACTCAGCTTCGAATCCAATGCAAGTGTAGTAGTATTATTTTTCACCCTATTGGTTTCCATTGTTGTTCTAGACTTTAGTTTTCTCTTCTTATTTGATCGTTCTACATTTTCTCACTCCTTACACTTTTATCATCTTTCATCGAAATAGAATAAGACAACTA